TAAAATCGCGAATTATTCTGTTTTTTAGGGAAGTTAGAACCCTAGAGAGGTAGAACTCATTTCTCTTCACTTCCTTTCATTTCCTTTGCTTAGATTAGTCTAATATTACATCTCTAACTCATCTAGCAAGCTTGTAAACATGAATTGGAGTGGGATTCAACCACAAATTCTTCATCTTCAATAGAGAAACTTCTTACTCTTCTTTTAATTATCTTGTGCAATGTTGATGATATTTTCTTATGCTATTTCGTTATTTATTTTTATGAAGTGTGAGTAGTCCGTTTTTGGGCTTGGATTATGATGATATTGTCAACCTAGATGATAAATAAGTGATTATTGCATAAGGGGAAGAAATATATCTTAGGGTTCATTTGTTTGAGAAGGATTTATGTTGAATCTTGTTAATATTTGGTATTTAACTCTTATTAACTTGCTTTTGGATAGTTATTCTCCACAATGAAAATTGGGTGAAAAACTTAGCCTCTCCTTTCTCAAACGCATTTTCTTTCTATGAAAATAGGGAAGAATTGGTGGCCTTAATGCTTATGTGCTTTAAGAGCTAGAAATTGATACAACACGAAAGTGGGGCAATCCTTGTTCTAATCCTTGTTCATTAGTTTATGAAAATGGCTTTTACGCTAGAATTTTTATGTGCATTGCCCTTATGTTCTTTCGGTTGATGTTCATCCCTAATCCCTAAGTTGTGAAAGCATCTAGTTGGCAACATCCCCTATTTAGAGCCCATCTTTTGTTATTGTGTTTAATTCGTGGTATCTTAATTTAGACTTTTAGCCTCTAATTGTTGACAACTACTCAATCTTGAATTTGAACTTGCTTAGATTCTTGTGGGTTACAATACTTCGGTGCCTAGAATTTTAGTTGTCGCTCAAGTACGTGCCATAGTCTCAATCCCTAGCGGAAAGATAATTTCACCCGTATACTCACCTTCTCTTTCCCGTACATCTAGTTTGACATGGCCGTGCCAATATGAGGCAGAATGCCTCAGATTTTGGTCTAAAATTAGACACGGCCATGTCCCTGGCCGTGTCGCTGTGCTGATTTTGACAACTTAAAATCGTGAATTGTTCTATTTTTTTAGAGAAGTTAGAACCCTAGTGAGCTAGAACTCATTTGTCTTCACTTCCTTTCATTTCCTTAGCTTAGTTTAGTCTAATATTACATCTCTAACTCATCTATCATGTGGAAGTTTTGAACAAAATATTAATATTTATTATATTTGTATAAGGTTCATGAGTAGTAACAACAATAACTCTGTAGGTAGTCTGAATACTGATGCTGTAGCGTGCAGTGTCCAGTTTCATATCCACATCTATTTTGCACATATTCATTTTCGAATTCATATTTTTAGAATTAGTAGTATGAGTGTAGTACTTGATTTTGTGTGTGTGTGTGTGTGTTTTTTTTTTTGTTTTTTAATTTTTTATTGAATTGATACTAACCTTGGAGTTAAATTATTTTCCACTTTGTACATAAACTTTTTGTAAATAGTGACTACATCTTATATACCAAGTTTTTTTTTTTTTTTTTTTTTTTTTTTTTTGGTGAAGGTTGATGCTGATTTTGCATGTAATATAAGCATGTTGAGTCTAGAAGATGAAATGAATTGTAAGTTTATTTAGTTCTAATATATTTAATGAATGCACAATAAGTATTTTATATACAGGATCATGAATCAACGGTGGCTATTTTGAAATTTTTTGTTTTTTATAAAAATAAAAAGTTTTCAATTAAATTTAAAAGATTCTATGAAAAGATGGTAAGAATGTGTGTTTATTGTATTTTAAATTTAAATTGGAGGTCAAAGGTTCGAAACTTGCATGTATTGATTTTAAAAATTGTGATTTTGGTAGGGCTACATTTATTTACCAGAACAGGGCCATCAAAACTTAAAATACGACCCTGCATAAATTCATAACAGAATACACATAATCTAACATAATACACAAACTCATAACAGAATACACATAATCTAACATAATACACATAAACTCATAACATAATACACATAAACTCATAACATAATACATATAATCTCACATAATACACATAAACTCATAACAGAATACACATAATCTAACATAATACATACTATACATAAACTCATAATATAATACACATAAACTCTTAACAGAATACACATAAACTCATAACAGAATACACATAATCTAACATAATACATAATACACATAAACTCATAACAGAATACACATAATCTAACATAATACATAATACACATAAACTCATAATAGAATACACATAAACTCTTAACATAATACACATAAAATTTTAACAATAAAAATGACGTCGTTTTGGTTAGGGCGCACATTTCATTTTGCGCCCTACTGCACGGTATAATGATTGCTTATTAGTATAGTAGATAAAAAAAAAGTTTGGAGAAGCCTATTTGTCACAACCCAATTCGTTAGTTGTTTATTATTAGGAAAAATTGTAAAAAATGTCTAATCTATAATATGTCAATTATCAATGTCACTCCTAAATTATGAGTGGTATAAATGTTGACTCTCAATTATTAAAACTGTGCACATATAACCCATTACATAACAGACATGTGATTCTCGATTAGTGTACACCGTTATGTCAGGGTAAATATATAATTTACTTATTTATTCATTTTTTTTTCTTATTTTCCCTTTGCTTCCTTTTTCCCCTTTCGACAATAGCTTCTAAGTTTCCCCTTTCCCCCTCAATTTCCAAAACAGATTGTAGCTTTCCCCTTTCCCATTCAATGTCGACGACAAAAGCCGAAGTCGACATTTGCATATTTTCTTCCGTTCGTGTGTTTGCTTTTCGACAACAATAAACTTTCTTTGTAGTTTCTTCTTCTCTTCTTTGTCAGATTGTTCAAAACCCTAACCTAACCCTATCCTAAATACCTATTTACTACAGAGCAAATGGGAAGGAAATCGAAGCTTGGAGTATGCAATAATGACTAGTTGAAGACTATCTGGACTAACTGCTACACCCAAATGTAAGTATTAAATTGAATAGTAGTACTTTAATAGGAATCGAAGCTTGTTGTCTAACTTATCATAAATGGTTGTACTGTAATGGTTGGGACCCCCTTAATAGTTTGTTGTTGTCTGGATTGTCCCTATGCGTGTAGGTCCCAACATTGGGTGACATAGGATTTTTTTATTTCAGTCTAGATTAAAGCTATATATTGTCCTCAATACTCTGTGTTCTTGTGTGAATTAAGATTTTTTTATTCAGCCCCAGATTTTTTTTTTTGTTCTTGTGGTCCCCAGTAGTTTGACTTGAAATTAATACGAAAGATTAATTCATTGAATCACCAAGAATAACGTTTACAAGAAAAGATGGTGGAGAGTCATTGAAATTAATGTACTTATGTGCTGATTTCTTTACGGCCAGATGATGAGCTAGATATGTACACTCTCAAACTATATTATGGTGGAGATCTAGTGCTAAAACCTAGAGTTCAATATATGAATGGTAGAATTGAGTATTTTGACAACTTCTCTGCTGAAGAAGGTAGCAATTTAGAATTAAGAAAAATGGTGAAAAGTTTAAAGTTTAGTGATAAGAAGATTAAGTTTTAGTTTAAATATGGTTCTAAGAGTTATCCAAAAGTGATACAGATTAAAACAAATGCTGAACTATTGAGTATCATGTATGAAATTCTCAAAAATAAAGAGGTTGAAATGTATGTAAAACATGTAGTAGATGACCAGTGAGACTATGAGGTAGAGGCAGAGGGATGCATTTCAAAAGAGTTACGGGTGCAATCTGAAAGTAATGTTCCTTTACAAGATTGGGAATTTGAAGTTGATGAAGGTTCTGATAATAGTAGGACTTTAGAAGACAATGTGAATGTGAATGCTACTATGAATGCCTCTGTGAATGTGAATCCTTCTGTGAATGCATCTGAGAATGCTACTGTGGATGGTAATGTTAATGCTACTAAAGTTAGGGTGTCTAAAATCAGGAAAAAAACAAACAAACAAACAAACAAAAAGTTTTAGATAATGGGGAAGAAAAAGATTTTGTCAATTCTAAAGCAGAATTGATGAGTTTGTGTTCATCTGACTCAGACTTGGAGCTATCTAAACCATCAAATGTTTTTCATGAAAAAGATCTTGAAAAATAAGGACTAAGTTTGTTGTTGGCATGATATTTAAGAGTAATGATGAGTTCAAATGGGATGTAAAATGTCACCAAACACTTAGAAAAAAAGACATCAAATTTACTAAGATTGAACTTGCTAGAATTATGGTTGTATTTAAGGATGAAAAAAAGTCAATTAGCCCTCTTAACTTTTTAAATGTGCAATTACACCCATCAACAACTCATTTTGATGTAATGAAGTCTAAAAACCAGTTAATGACCTAGTATCACATGTAAGTAGGGATCCGGAGGGGAGAATTTTCAGGCAAAAAAGTGACCGGTAACCTACAACCAAGGAGACGGCGACCAAGTGGTCGCCTTCTCCGTGACTGGCGACCGTTTGCCGGTGACTTTTTGTCTGAAAATTTGCCGAAAAATGGACAGATCCCTAATGACCTGTGAATTTGTAATAGCAGATCAGTAATCGATTTTTGGATTTCATTACATCAAAATAAATTATTGATGGGTGTAACTGCACCTTTAAAAAGTTCAAAGAGCTAATTGACATTTCAACTAAAGTTCAAATGTCTATTTAACTTTTTTCCTTAAAAAATTCACAATCGCTACTCAAAAGTGCACACTAAGTGAAGTCCATCTTGTGACCATAGTCTATGAATAATCACAAGAAGATAAACTAGTCTAAATTGTCTATATCTGACTAGCTCAAACTAAAAAAGCAAAAAAAAAAAAAAAACACTAGGGAATTCCCATTACTAGTCAATTATCTAACCAACTTGGTCAAATTTGCCCCTTAATTGTAACTTGAGTAATATTTGTCCTTGGCTCACCAAGGTGTTGTTAGCCATGGTGAAAAATGCAATTCTAGACATTAGACAACCATAAATCTGTTTCGCTATTATACCCCAGGGCTTAAGCATCACAATAAAGCAATTCTCAATTAACCTGAACACCAAAAGTGGGATTCACTAGGCTCAGAAATTATAATGCACACAGAGACGAGGCTAGAGTGGAATTCCACAATTTTTTTAGAAGAATATCAATCAAATACTACGGCCCAAGTAAGCAAACCACAGAAATAAATCCTAAAATTTAAATCCAAACAAAAGTACTATATTTTAACACTGGGCGACCTGCAACATGTAGAAGAAGCTGCCACAGCCCACAGTCCACGCAACCAATGGTATTAGCGTTAAACTTCCGGGGCAGGTGCAGCAGTAGACTTCAAGAGTGGCTGGAGGGCCTTCACAACAATGCTCATGTTTGGACGGAATTCTGCCTCGTACTGTACACACAATGCTGCCACAGCTCCAAGCTGAAATACACAGCAAAATCATAGTAAGATCCAACCAAAAAAACATAAATACATTCCATTTGTCTAGAGATATCTCAAAGAATTTTCCATTGTGGAGAGACCTTTGCAATTCCTTTTGGAGGATATTCCCCTTTGAGTTTTGGATCTACGCACTGTTTCACTTTATCTTCACTCAGTCTTGGGGTTGCCTAAAAGAAAAGAAGTATAAATTTAACCAAAGGTTCAGTAAATACATAGTAATTAATAAAGGATACCAAAGGAAAAAGAGGAAAATAGCTACTACTAACCCATGTAACAAGGCTCTGTTGCCCACGAGGCATGGTATGGTCCACAGGTTTCCTTCCCGTCAAAAGTTCAAGCAGGACAACCCCAAAACTATATACATCACTCTTCTGAGTTAACTGTCCTGTCATTGCATATCTGGAAAACAACTTATAATCATATTCCAAGGTATATAATCAAAGAAGTTTGAAATCCTTATTTGAACAGGCAACATGTAACAACAGATCAAAAACCGGAAAAAGACCAAGAAGTTATATATACACTCCATAGCATACTAGCCATTTAAGTACAATAATATGTCAAAAGATCCACAGAATTGCCAGAACAGAGAAAGGCATGACTGGTTCTGAAACTATGAACATAGGTCTTTTTCCCAATGACTAAAAAAATTCCTAAGATTTTCTTGAATAAGTGTTATACATCTTATGCATCTTCATACATTCATAAATAGTGCTTACTTATATTCATATGTTCATATTTGATGCTACCATATCATTCTCCATTCTCAGATAAATTGATATTTGAAATTTCCTCCACAAGAAGGTAATGTAGGTAATAACATCTTTAATTTTGTAGTCAATAAAAAGCTTAGCCAACGTTTCAAAAAAAAAAAAAAAAAAAAAAAAAAAAAAAAAAAAAAACTTAGCCAATACTCAGGCTCTTCATGCAAACACAGCTTAGATAATTCAAAAAAATCCAATAATTACATGAAGTATAGATAGCAAGGCTCCAGTGCAGAGGTAGCATGAGCCTTCACAAGCAAAAGACGATGGGTTGACTGTCATTCCCCAGCCACATAGCATACAAATAAAACAATAAGAAAACAACAAACTATAAAAGTTTTAAGAAAATATTTTATTAAGGGAGGCAGATGATAAGGCATTACTCTGGCGCATGATAGCCAAAAGTTCCCAGAACTCTAGTAGAATGAAGCCTGGCAGCCATATCAGGAGCTTGGTTGGAAAGGTTAAAATCCGCAATCTTTGCTTTGTAGTCTTCAAAAAGGAGCACATTGCTGGATCTGATATCCCTGTGTATAATAGGAGGTTGGACCTTCTCATGCAAATATTCAAGTCCCCTTGCAGCATCTACAGCAATCCTTACCCGCTGCATCCAATCAAGTGTAGGACCAGGCTGTGCCCCTTGTACACCCTTCCTACCTGTAAATACAAACATACTTTATGAATCTTCTCTTATAATGACTTCATAATACAATTCACCTTTGGGTCAATCAGATATAGTCACAATGAGTGACGGTTTGCATACCGTGCAATATATCATGTAAAGACCCCATGGTTGCAAACTCATAAGCTAATATACGAAGGTTCCCTTCAACGCAGTAACCAAGCAACTCAACAAGATTTTCATGCTTCAATGTTGAAACAGTGGAAACCTAACAAAGAGAAGCAAAGAATTAGAAAGACAGAGTGACAGACAAGCCACATAGGGTAAGAAACTAAATGAATTTATGCAAAGTTTCATACAAACCTGAGTCAAAAACTCAACATTTGATTCTTGCTCAGATGAAGTATCTAGCTTCTTCACAGCCACAGCCTTGCCATTATCTAGATTTGCAAAGTACGCCCTTCCATATGATCCTTCACCAATTAATGCCTTTGATCCAAAATTGTCAGTTTTATCCTTCAGTTCATCCAGTGACAATTCAGGCACCTCAATAGTTGGTATTGGTTTTTGCACTTCAATCTTGGCAGGGGCTGGTAACTTTGATCCTTTTGGGTGGCCTGAGATATCAAATATATAGGAAGTACCGAAGTACATAAGGAAATGCATGTATAATTGATCTACAAAAATAAAAAAACACACAAGAAATATAAATTGCAACTACTATGGTAAAAAATAACAAAGCATATGATAAAGGTCAAGAAATCATTGAGCAGCTACCACAAAGAGGTTCCTTTGTACAGAATTTGTAGTAGTTCCAGTCTACCCCTACTCACCAAACTCTTTCTACTACTACCAAGTTATAAATCTTGCCAGGGCATTAAAATGCCTACACTAAACATTCATGAACAATCGTCTTCATACTATTTTCCATCTATCTTCAGTTTTGGCCACCTCAACCATACCACAACATATTCATTTAGATATGATCCTTCTTTGTACTCCCACATGTCCCTCTAGCATTTTCATCTCCACTATGACCATTTTATGGCATAGCTTCCACAATGTATAGCTGGCCTTGTTGTCATGCTGTAGAATTTTTCTTTCAGTTTGCCACAAATTTTATACACATAACATCCCAAAGTACTTCTCCACTTCATCCAACCAGAACTGGCTCTAGGATTTACACAACTCTTACTCTCTTTTTTTTTTCCCTTACAAAGAATAGATCCAAGTAATATGAACTTTTAGCTTTGGACATACGAAGCGACTGGAAGACTTTCTAGGTCCAAAATAAAAATATGCTTAAATTATTCCATTTTTTCCATCATATTTTGGGGGAAGAGGAAAGTGTTTTTTTTTTTTTTTTTTTTTAATTTAGTTTAATTTAATTTTTTTGGGGGTGGGGGTGTTGTCGTTTGATATTTTTATTTTATTCTAATCTAAACTTTTGTTGTTAAACTTTATAGAAAAGTACTACTTTTTAAAGGTTACTTAGATGCTTAGACAGGAACCCCAACCAGAAATTTTAATTTTAATATATCCCTCACTCGTAAGTGGACATTTTCTAACTCTAATGGACTATGTTCATTCTCTTGAATCCATTACTAATCAACCAGTTGAGCTTATTCAATCCCAAGGTCTGAAATTTCATCCTCTCAAAACAAATGGAATGTCATGACATGTGATGCTATGAAGGGAAGTATCTAACTGTTCCAATGAACACAAATTATACATTCTGAAAGAATGAATAAAATAAACAAAACATTTCAGCAGAGATGAAACTGGCAGAAACATACCATCAACATGATTCCCTGGGTTGTTGTGGACCTCATTTTCATTTGATAGGTATGACTCCTCTACTAGGCAGGAGCAGCACAGCCACTTTCGCATCCTTGCTCTTTTTGTTAATTAAAGATTGTTCTCTGTACTTGTGATTCTAAATTGAAAAACGTTAACTGGGAGGAGATGCATGTGCCTCTGCAGCAAGTAGGAAACATAAATACATAAGATTAGCTCAACTGCTATGACACTAAATCAAACCACTACTCTAAAGGGGTTATCTAGAGTTGTGAGGGCAAAGTTTAAAGTAGCATATTAAAAAATACACTGCTAAACAAGCTTTGCACAGGTAGAGATATATCAGTGCTCATGATTTTATTATCTTATATGCATAGTGACCTAGCACTCCATAAAAATTAGATTGTAATATCAAAACTACACCAAATCATTAATTGAGCATAATTATCACAACTTATATTACAAGAATGCATCAAAGAATTGAGCACTCGAACAAACTAGTATACTCGCCTAGCTTCTTAGATTTCATTACGAAGTAACAATTCACTCTCTCCATTACCCCAAAAAAAATCACTACGAAAATTGAGCACTCGAACAACCTAGTACACTCACCTAAACATCATTGCCCACTAATACAACAAAATCCTTGTAGTCATATACAAAAAAAAAAAAAAAAAAAAATACAAATATCAAGATGGAAACAATTCATATGTATAACACAGCTGAGTAAAGACACATCGTAGCTAAACAAGAGTGATTGAAATTTACATTTTGAAAGATACATGACAATAGAAAAATAATCTAAAAAGTGTATAATTTAACTAAATCAGAGGGAGAAGGAATCGGAAACGTACCAAGAAGATTTGAAGAAGAGAGAATTTTGAGTAGCCCTAGTAGATATCTCACTGTTTACGCGTTTATGAGAAAATGGAAGAAGAAATGATTACTTAAAAGAAACTTTCTTTTCCCCTTTAGATAACGAATACTTTGGGGATACGTTTCGGATAAATAGTTATTGCTGAAGTCATTTAGCGTTTTTTTTTTTTTTTTTTTTCCTTTCCACGGGACTTAGGCCATCCACACTTGTGGATATTGTGGGGAGAATTCAGAATTAAATCTTTCCTTCATGAGATAATAGCTAGTGTGGACATGAGATAATTGAAAAATAATCTCCCTGCAAATGTAGGGAGATTGTCAGAAAAAAAAAAAAAAAAAAAAAAAAGAGAAAGAAGAAGAAGCAAGGCTGTGCGCGTTCACGCACAGCCTTAGGCAAAAGCCGGGCGCGTGCACTGCACGCGCCCGGAGGCGCGTCAGGCGCGCCTGACGCGTCTGACTACTTTCTTTTTTTTTTAAATTTTTTTTTTGTTTTGTTTTTTCTTTTTTTTTTTCTCTCCTCTCCCACACTCTCTTTCCTAATCACTCTTACATTATCTCCCCATTCTTCCCAACCAATGTGGATGCTCTTAGTGCAGCGTATATTTTTTAACTCATAATTTATATTAGGGAAAATGGTCAAATAGGCCCTCATACTTTAACTTAAAAGTCAATTAGGTCTCTAAACTTTCTAAAGGTGCAATTACACCCATCAACAATTTATTTAAGTGCAATAAAGCCCAAAACAAATTAATGACCTGCTATCACAGGTCATTAGGGTTCAGGCCACCTTCCGACGAATTTTTTGACAAAAATAAAAAAAGTGATCTGCGAAATTTTCGACAAAAGAAGTGACCGGCGAAATTTTCGGCAAATCTAAATCGGTTGCTAGTCACCTTTTTTTGTCAGAAAATTCGCCCGAAGGTGGCTTGAACCCTAATGACCTGTGATAGCATGTCATTAACTTGTTTTTGGGCTTCATTGCACCTAAATGAATTTTTGACCGCTCTCCAGAATGAGTTGTTCGATCATTCATTGGGTTTGTCCTCCTCTTTCGAAAGCCACTCCTCTGGTTATGCTTCGGACAGGGACTCTGCTCTTCACCCAAGGGTTGGGCTGTTCGCCCATTAAAGCGGTACGGGGTGTAATTGAACATTTAAAAAGTTTTGGGGCCTAATTGACTTTTAAGTTAAAGTTTGAGGGCCTATTTGACCCTTTTCCCTTTATATTATTTCAAAATACAATGTATACTATTATAACTCATAAACTACATTATCTTATCCTAAAAGTTTTATTATTCTAACATATAATCTACATTATTCTAACACATAAAATATATTATTCTGACACATAACATATAATATTCTAATTCATAATGTACATTATTCTAATTCATAAAGTTGAACACATTATTTTGGATCGTGATTCACGCAGCGGTCCACACAATAATATACCTACTTCGGATAAAGTAGGCCCAACAAAGATTAATACATTGAGCCCAATGTTCGTACCTTACTCTTTCTTTTTGGGAAGTAAACCATCTCAAAAAGTAAATTATTGTGTGAACTATAGTCCACATAACTGTGCAGATCTAACGATTCAAAATGACGTCATTTTGATATTAAAAAATAAATAAATATTTCTTATTTTGCGGACGTGTTAGAATGATGAATATTTTTGGGTAAGATAATATATTTTATGAATTAAAATAATGTACTTTATGTGTTAGAATAATGTACTTTATGTATTAGAATAATGTACTTTATGTGTTAAAAATAATGATAGTTTATGGGTAAGATAATGTTCTTTATGAGTTAGAATAATATATTTAATAACCAAGACTTTGTGATCTAATGGCACTTAGATTAGACTCACATATGGGCAATTGTGAGTTCAAGCTTTAGTAGAGACGTTATTAGTTCTTTGTGCTTCAACAGATTTAGAAAGTAGTTATGAAAAGAAACTAGCATCTATGGTAAAATACAATGTACTTGATGCGTTTTTAGACCATAGTCCACATAACTATGTGGGCATTTAATTAATATCATCCAACAAAATAGTACAAAGAGATATTGTAAAACTACTCAACATATCTTTTAGCATTCATGCAATATAATATTGGTTTTGATGTTAACTAACAATTATAATGGAGTGTACGAGTTATTGTATTTTGTGGTCCTAGATACTGCATGATTTGTAGGATGAATTTAGAAAAATACATGTGTCACAAGTGATAGGACTAAAGAGTTGACAGTAGTACTCAACGGGACTATCAAACTCATTGACTAGTCCTACTGGTACCAGAGAACAAACTGTACTACTCAATGGGCTCAACAGCTCACATGGTTTCACGATACTACTCAATAGGTCTGTTGAATCCGTTGGGGAGTCTATTGTGCATTCCAGTGAGCGACCCATTTTGAAATTATATTTTTAATGGGGCTATCAACGATACGTCAAGACCTGTCATCTAGACCCGTGAATTCTTCCGGTTCTAAAAATTCAACATTGAAATCTTCTCTCTCCTCATTAATGAGACACCAAACAAATGTTTCTATTCACCCAGCTCAGCTCACAAGCTTCTAATATAAATATTGTTTTCCCACACTAAGAAGATCAACTTTTGACTATCTTGATCAAGCAAAACTTCTACAGAGCAAAGAAAAACACATTCACATCCATTACCTCTGTTTTCAATCTTGAAGGGTACGTACGTTTTGTTATTTATTCTTCTTATCTTATAGCCTTCAAGATTAGTATGAGTATTGAGCTTATACTTTACCATCAATTCACTCATCTTCCTGATCTTAACCTTTACACATCAAGTCTATTTAGAGACACAAGTGTAAACCCAAAAATCATTTTGTATAAGGTGGTTGTAAAAGGACTTATATAGCCTGTAGCTTTTTGTGGCTATTGCGATAGTCTCGGTGTAATGCTTATCAACGAGGGTTGTTCGTCGAGATTGGTTGCAGTGAAGAGGACCGAAATATAGTGGATTGCTAAATCCTAAGGAAGGAGCCCTTGGGTAGTGGATTAGGCACTTGCCGAACTACTATAAATATCGGTCTATTTTTTCCCTCACATTATTATTTAATTTGATATACTTGAGCTACTTACCCTATCATCTTTATATAAGTTTCGTGATATCTTTCATATTCTCAATTAGGGCTGTTAACGAACTGAACATAAACGAAAGGAGGTTGTTCGTGTTCGTTTGTTAAGGAATTTAGAGTGTTCGTGTTCGTGTTCGTGTTCGTGTTCGTTTGTTAAGCGTACGTTAGTGTTCATTAACGTTCGCGAACACGTTCACGAACATGTTCGTTAACGTTAACGAACATGTTTGCGAACGTGTTTGTTAACGTTCGTGAACACGTTCGCAAACGTGTTCGTTAACGTTAACAAACACGTTCACAAACATGTTCATTAAAAAACACGTTCATGAACATATTTATTTACGTTCATGAACACTTAATAAACAAACACCTGCACATGTTCATGATCGCAATTCGTTCGTGAACAATAAATAATCTACGTTCACGAACAATAATCAATCAAACAACACAACTACATAAGTAATATAATATAATATATATGTTTGTGAACATGTTCGCGAACATTATTAAACGAACACAAACGAGCTTGTTCCCGAACATTATTAAACGAACATAAACGAGCTTGTTCACGAACATTAGTAAACGAACACAAACGAGCTTGTTCACGATCTCTTAGCAAACGAGCTTACAACTGTTCAAGCTCTGTTCGTTTATTAACCGAGCTCTAAATTTTGTTTGTTAATGTTCGTTTACCTTAACAAACGAACATAAACGAACGCTTACCGAACACGAACACGAGTAGTTTGCGGAAAGCTTTGTTCGCTAACACCCCTATTCTCAATGTTAACTTTACACTTCACACATTGTCTTTTTAATATTACTTGAACTCTCAGCACAAATCCTATATATAATAAAGCCATATGGTCTTGTGAAAATTAAATGGTGATAATCAACATTTAATTTTCACAAGACCATAATAATATTGTTAATTATAATAACAATAACAATAATAGTAATAATTGCAATAATAATAATAATGATAATAATTTTCACTGATTGTTTATAAAATATATATATATATATATATATATATATATATATATATATATATATATATATATATATATATATATTTATTTATTTTTATTTATTTATTATATTTATTTATATTTCAATTTTTACTGTCAAATTATTGTGTGAACGATGGTCCACATAATTGTATGGATCATGAATATCAAATACATTTTTAATATATTAAAAATACATTATTTTTATATTGAAAGTACCTTACATACATATATAATGTACCCTTAGTATATTTAAAATATACTTTTTTATTGCATGCAACCCCAAAGTTCATAAGTTTGAAATTAATATATGGCATAGCTAGGCGGCTTAATATTTAAGATTATTGATGTGCATATTGAGGACTACGGAGACAAAGATGCGTTATTCGTGGATTCATCGGATACTATCCAACAACACTCTCCAACTTAATTGACGTGGAGTAGGCTTTGCAACATTAAGATTATATTCTCGAATTATTAGTTCTCATCTTTTATTGATTACACACTTAATTCGATAGTATTTGGAAGAAAAAATCAATGTTCGAACTAATATTGTAATTTTGGTCTTTAAATGTCAATTGTATGTTGCTACATCTAGAGTTAGAAATCTCAAAGGTCTAAAAATTTTGATCCGTGGTGACTCTAAAATTGTAATTCAATTACTATTGTAGTTTACTAAGTTCTTAAAAATTTGTAATATTAAATACTATGTACTAAATTTTTAATATAGTTTAAGATTTGTAGTAATCACCCACCTTAAATATTATTTTAATTGTAAATATATTTATGTTCAGAATTTTATCATAGGAATTCACACATAATAATTATTAAATAACAAAAATTTTATATATGAATAAACCTCATATTTTTATAACATATTTTTCGTGCATCGCACGGGACAAATACTAGTCTTTTTAATAACCTAATTCAACCCCCTCTTAGGTTGTTTATCGGTTTTCAATTGGTATCATAC